TTTCTAAATATTTTTAATCCATGTATTAAAACCATATAATCATATTTCAATTATTAAAAACCTGATTATTAAAAAACAATAATAAAAAAGAATTCATTTGGTACATGTGCTGTGTGTATATGATTACTCACTTATCAAAAACACATTTACATTAAAACTGCTGTTAATTTTTAGATGTAGAGCACCTGCTATCTGGAGTCAGCGAGCTTTTATTTTACAATTTAAAATAGGACGAAAATACATTATAGTAATTAATGAAGCCGTTCTAATTTAGCCTGAAGAGATTTAAAATTCCCAGTGATAGCTTGTACCGCCACTGAAGAGCTCATAGACTGGAGCTCAACCAGATAACCACAAACAGCATCCAGGCAGAGATTTGTAAATCTTCTCCTATAAACAAAAAGACACCTGATCAGCTTTGTATAAATTCAGAAACATTTCCTTCTATATGATTTCCAACTTCTACTCTACTGGATTATAGTTCCACAGTGTGATTAAATGAAAACAGGGAAAGAAATTCAGGGGTCCTGTGGATTACCACAGAACTACCATTTTCCATTTTAAGAGTATTACAGTGAGAGGCAGAATATAGGATAATTCCCTAATATTAAATTATCTATACACTTTTCACTTTCCAGCAAGCAATTATACCTTGAAATGACCAATAATATCACAAAATATAACTGAGTGATCCTAGCCCACAAAGATGGAAATGAGAAATAATTCACAAATTACATACTTTGCACTGTATAAAGGATAGAGGGCAAGGAAAAAACTTTTATATTAACTATCTTCAAACAGTTATTGCTACCATGTACCAGTACTTAAGTCTCCTATATTTAAAACTTGCTTATATTTCCTTATTTTCTCAAATTTTTTACCTAGATAGTTATAAGCATTTAAAAGCCTTTGTTATAATGTGATATCTATTTCATCTTTACCTCTCACAATTTACAACTTGGCTTGGATTTTCAACATATCTTGCCAATAATACATGTATACACTCCAGAAGATGTAATGGCTTCTTAATTCTGTTCCAGAATGGATCCTATAAAAAGATAAAAATAGTATGAATTGTATACCAAGCTCTGTCAACTGAATTTTCAACTATTTATATTAGTTAAAATAGTCATCAGCGTCCAAACCAAAATTTACTGCTATTTAATTTGTATTATTAAAATAAACATTACATGCTACCTGGTTCCCAATTATATTATCTAGTTAAGTTTA